GGGGGAGTGCGGGGATGGGTAGTGTTTGACGAGAGTGGAGTTTCAGTTTGGGAAGATGAGAAAGTTCTGGAGATGATGGTGGGGATGGCTGCACCGCAGTGTGAATGGATTTCATGCCACTGAGCCAAACAGTTAAAACTGGTTCAAATGACACGTTGGAATTTATGTGTATTTATGCGTATTTTACTACAATTAAAAAACAAAAATGTGGGCTGGCCGAGTGGCACGTTGGTTAAGAGCTGGCTTGGGAGGCCAGAGGGCCCTGGTTCGGATCCCACATATGAGGGCCAGTGACACACTGCCCTTTACAGCTAAGATGCTGAACAACAGCTCAACCTGGAGCTGGGCCGTGAGTCGCCGGCGGCGACGTAGGCTGCAGCCCCTGCTGCAGTGGGTTGCCATGGGCTACCGTGTGTAACCAGCAGCCAGTGTGAGCGGCCAGCAGCCGCCTGTGAGCAGCCATCCAGAAGCCGGCGACTGATCTGCCTCGCCCAGGAAGAGCGCAATGATGGTGCCAACTTAGGCCAGTGAAGCAACGTCCTCCACAACTAGACTGAAGAACAAAAGGACAGCAACTTGTCTGTTCTCCTTCCCGCAATTCCCCAGCACTGTTCCCATCCCCCAATTCCCCAATAAAAATCTTTAAAAATAAAAACAAAAACAAAACAAAAATGTGTACTCCTCATCTGTAAGGCGGTGCCTACCTGGGGCCCTGCCCTCCTCTCCTTCCCCATCTCTACCTGCTCCCTGCTCACCCTCTGATCCAGCCACACTGGCCGCTGCTGTGCTCCTCTAGGAGTTCCCACCTCAGGGCCTTTGCACTGGCTGTTCTGCCTGAGACACTCTCTCTGCACATCTCTCCAGGGCTGCCCCTTCTCACCTGTTCCATCTCACCTCAAATGTCACCTCTTCCAGCAGGCCCTCCTTGACCACCCCACTCCCCACCCCAACCCCAGCACCCCTACCTAGCACATCATCTGAGTTTTTCTTCATTACACATATCACTACGTCAAATCAAGTTCTAATTTGTTTGTATGTGGTCAGTCTTCCCACTAGGCTGTAAACTCCATGAGGACAGGGGTCTTTGTCCTCACACAGTGCCTGGCATGTAGCAGATACACAATAAATATTTGCTGAAAGACCAATCAGAAACTGGCCCCCATCCAGATGCAGACAGGGACTTCCCCTCAACGCTCCATATTTCTACACTCGGCTCCCCAGAATTCTGTTTGCTGCTGTGATTCAGCTGTGACTCTCAAAGGTGTTCCCAACTCCCTGGGCCTAAGCCACAGTCTAGGTCCCACCCCCAGGAGACAGAGCAGACCCAAAGCCCTGGGGGCCGGTGGTTGTAAACAGTTTTATTGATGGGGAGAGGGTTGGGGAGGCAAATTCCAGAGAGAGTCCAGGTCTCAGCTGGCCACTCAGCTGGCATGCATGGTCAGCTGGAGGTCGAGGGGGAGGTCACAAGGGGATGGGTGGCATGGGACCCTCTGACCACCCTGGGGCCATATTTACAGGGGGGCCCACCCTCCTTTGGCGCCCCCCAGCCCTTTACACAGCTGCTGCCAGTATGACTTCTAGGCAGGCCCTCCCGGCCCCCCTGTCTGAAACCCCTCTCTGTCTCCCCTCAAATTCCTAACCGGCACCTTGGAGGCCCCCCCAGCCTTCTGGAAGCCCCTGCGTTGGTTCAGCCAACGCCCAGGCCACTGGGGCCGCTGCGCTCACACAGGCGCTCACACAGACACACACCCTGCAGCAGTGGCACACCGGCAGCAGACTGGCGGGCATACACACGCACACCTCCCTCCCCGGCCCCTCGCACACGAACACGGCATGCACACACACACACACACACACACACACACACACACACACACACACACACGCCAGGAGCCTGGGTCAAGGAGGGACCTTGGGGGAGGGCTGGGGTCTGCAGCTGTGGCCCCCTCCCCATCCCGCCACCTCCAAGCTGCCGGCCGCCACCCCGAGAACGGAGTTGTGCAATTGGGTAGAAAACTGCAAAAGAAACGCAAATTGGAAACAAACCCTAACCCACGCACAGGTCAACCTCAAACCCATAGCACATCCTCCCGCCCCCCCCCAAACCGCCTCGTGTCCCATGGCCCCAATTGGGGTGAGGGTCGGAGCCTGTTGTGCTTCCCTGTGGCGGAGGGGCACCCCCACACTGGGCTGGGGGTCTTGAGCACCCACTCGGAGCTAGGCCGGGTCTCTTGCTCCTGGTTCACCTGGCTGGCACCACCGAGGCATCGGGGAGCCCCGGCCTAGGGCACAGGGGGCGCAGTCCTGTCCGTCCCCCCATAGGAGAGGAGGTGAGCCAAGTCTGTGCTGGGCCGAGCATGGCGGCCACGGTGACGGTCACCCGGCCTGCCCTCACCGCTGTTGAACGTGTGCGTGCGGCGCAGGGTGACTGCTGCTGGGGCGTGGGGGCCTGGCCTCCGGAGGCTGCCCGTGGGTGGCGGACTCCAAGGCCGAGGAAGGCTGTTGGAGGCTGAAGTTGGGTCCACGGGGCCCGTGGGTGCTGACACCACCCGC